CTAACACAACGTCCGCAAGACTTAATCTTTCTCTCTACATCAGTTGCCATTTTAGGCCAATAAAATCTTGACCTAACCAAGTCGAGGGTTCTTTCCAAACCCATATGCCCCATGTCGTCATGAAGGCAAGTGAGAATGGTGGACCTTAAAGACTCAGGGACGACAAGCTGAAAGGTGACATTTTCACCTGATTTGCGGGTTCTGTAGAGGAGACCATTTTTCAGTTCCAAACGTTTCCACTCTTTGAGCATTAGTTTAAGCTCTAAGGATGCAGAGTTCGGATTGGAATTTGCTTCACCTCCATTTTCTAACATGTTGACCACATACCCAATAATTGGGTCAGACCTCTGATGCTGTTGGAGTTCTACCTCACTATAGGTAGGTATGACAGAACAACCTAATGTTCCATCATCTGCGTAGACGTCTGGCACCGCATCGGTATGTAGAGCAAGGGACTCTACCAAAGTGATAGAAGGTAGGCTATTGTCAGATTCACCTAAGAGATGACGGTGGCACAAGACACTGAATGTGTCAGCTGTCACATCTTGTCTGTTGGGAGATGAAGAGAGATGATGGGAAGCGAATTGTTTCATTCGCTCTTTTTCTTCAAGAGAAGCATAGTCATCATCCACAGTATCATGTGGCCGCCTAGAGAGGCCATCTGCATCTTGATTGCTCTTACCAGCACGATACTTAATATTAAAGTCGAAGGTGGAGAGAGCGGCCAACCAGCGGTAGCTGGCAGCATCGAGCTTGGCTGACTTCAAAACATAGGTCAATGGGTTGTTGTCCGTTAAAACCGTGAATGTGTTCCCGTAGAGATAATCTTGGAACTTCTCTACAATGGACCACTTTAATGCAAGAAATTCCAGTTTATGAGCTGGATACCGCTTTTCACTGGGTGAAAGTCCTCTACTTGCGTAGGCAATAACCCTCACTTCACCATCCTGTTCTTGATACAAGGCTGCCCCTAACCCAGAGGTGCTCGCATCAGTATGGAGGACGTATGGTAATTTTGGGTTAGCATATCCAAGCACTGGAGCTGATGTCAGTTTCTCTATGATTACCTCAAAAGCTTCCTGACAAGCAGGTGTCCAACGGCTGGAAAGAGGCTCTTTAGGGTTCAAGTATCCGCTAGGACCGGGTGTCACCTTTCTGCCCTTCCTGTATGGTGGGTAGCCTTTGGTAAGATCATTCAGGGGTTTGACAATTTTTGAATAGTCCTTCACAAACCGTCGATAGTACCCTGCAAAGCCTAGGAAAGACTTGAGGTCACTGAGCGTCTGGGGTCTTGGCCAGGTTTTGAGAGCTCTGACCTTCTCAGGATCGGTCTCTACACCTTTGGTAGACACGATGTGTCCTAGGTATCGCACAGAACTTTGGAAGAAGGAGCACTTTTTGGGAGAAAGTTTCAACCCATATTCTCTCAGTTGCTGAAGGACACGTAGAAGCCTGGTTTCATGTTCCTCCAAAGTGCTGGAGAACACGATGATGTCATCTATGAACACCAGAACTTCTTTCAGATTGAGGCTGCCCATACACCGTTCCATTAAGCGCTGGAAGGTGCTGGGAGCGTTGGTGATCCCCTGGGGCATACGGTTAAACTCGTAAAATCCCAAGGGGCACACAAAAGCTGTCTTGGGCTTATCACATTCCTCCATCTCAATCTGGTAATAACCAGACTTGAGATCCATTACTGAAAACCATTTGGATCCAGCAAGGGCTGAGAAAGCCTCTTCAAGGTTTGGAAGTGCGTACGCATCTCGTATTGTTAACGCATTGAGCTTACGATAATCAATACAAAGACGGACCTCTCCATTCTTCTTTTTAACCACCACAATCGGTGAAGCATAAGGGGACTCTGATTCACGGATTACTCCTGCATCAAGGAGTGCTTGCAAGTGCTTCCTCACAGCTTCATAATCATTTGGGTGGATTGGCCTGGACTTTTGCTTAAAGGGTGCTTCGTCCTTTAAGTTTATGTGATGTGTGACTTTAGATACATGTCCAAGATCCAAATCATGCTGGGCAAAAACATCAGCATAGGCACTTAGACGCTGGGTAACCCTCTCTTTCCACTCCTGCGGGAGGGGAGAATTGCCAAAGTCAAATGTCAAATCTGGGTGAGCAGGTTCATCAACTGGCTGTGCAGTAACATTACAACATTTCACAGTGTCATCATTTTTGGTTGAAATGGGTGATTCGTCATATATCTTTGCAGGACTATGGAGCTCTGCAATGACACATCTAGAAGGCAGTGTTACGTCATGCTCAGTTTCATTTCTCACCCATATAGGTAACCTATGAGGATGCTTCTTGGGCAAAGTGACAAGACAGCACTCCACAAAAATTCCCCCTGGTAAGGTGGATGTCGTTGGCTGTTCAACAATGGCACATTCACCAGCACTGCTGGATCTGACACAGCCTTCAAGGAGGACCCTCCCTTGAGCTGGTACTACGTGTTGCACCTTGCCCTTAAGAGTTACAAAGCCATCGTTTCCGGCTAGGTTTATCTCTCTCCTGACCTTGAGTGTACGGAGGATCTGCCTGTAGCCATAGACCGACGACAAATCATTGGGATCTTTACCTTGACAATATTCGTCGTACAGAACATCAAGTGCATTTGTCCCAATCAGCACAGGCAAGTCACAGTTAGAGCGTAAGTCAGGTACTACTAAAGCAAGGCTAGAAACCTCAGGCTCAGTTTCAATAAAGCTTTTTGGAAACTTAAGGCTGATGGTATGTATCCCAAGTAAGGAACATTTTGGCCACTAGCAGCCTCAACATCCAGGCCACTGATAGGCTGAATGGGATGTTCTGAAAGATTGGTGTTGTAAAATGAAGCGGACACTGTGGTCACTTGAGACCCAGTGTCAAGGAGACAACTGCAATTGACTCCCGACACGGTAACATTTGCTGTACATTTCTGTCCTACAAGTCCCTTGGGTAACCTAATCTGGGTCGTGCTGCACGAGAGAGAGAAGATACTTTGCTCTGAGTTCCGGTTTGGGACGTTCATGATTACTTTCAGTTCCTGGTAGTCCCTCCCCAGAAACTGATTTTAGTTTAAAGCTGACATATTCTGTTCCTCCCAGACTTGTAGTTTTTGGTTGAACTCCTTACGTTTCATTTCAACTAGTTCAGGGTTTGGTTCATTGCTGCAAGAGGGAGCAATATGACCATCCTCGCCGCACCTGAAGCAGTACCATGGGCGTGGCTTCTTAGTGGGCTTAGTCTCACTTGGGTCAGATTTCTCTTTAGGAAGAATCTTGAACTTAGGTTTGGTTTTCTTATTTGGCTTGTCAGAGTTCTGGCTTGAACTGTCAATAGCTGATGCTTTCAGTGAAGCCACTTGGGCTTGTAGCTTTGCAAGTTTCCTTTCTAACTTATGTGCATCAAAAGGCACTAGCCTATCATTAACAGCTGATACGTCTGTATCATCAGTGACATACTCTCCTACTTCAAGGGAGTTCAAATGTGCCTTAGGTTTAGAAATGCCTAAGTGCTGTTTCATTCGGCTGGACTTTGCCGCTTGCCGGTCCTCCTCAGTACGTAGCATGAGGAGCAACTCTGGAAATGAAGGTGGCTTGTCCTTCTTCTGCTCAAGCTGCAAGGTTGTGATCAAGCTGTTGTTCCAGCAACCTCTACAAAACTGTTTAAGCAGTTGGCGATCTGAATCATCTGTAGTGATGCCACCTCTTTTAATGACTTTACTCAGGGTTATCTGCAACCGCTGTAAATAGGCAGAAGGCTTTTCACCTGAGTTCTGGTTTGTGCTCAGGAATTTGGCAAAAAGCTCATCCCCATCATCAACAGTACCATACGCTGAGTCAAGAAGGCTGAGATAGTCATGGGGAGAAGCGTTATGACCAAGGTGCTTTACAATGTTAGCAGCTGGTGGAAGAAGGCTCTCAACTATTTTCCTTACCATATGTTTGTCAGATATGGTACAATCTATGAGGTGGAATTCAACATTGTTGCACCACGTATCATAATCAGCTTCGAAAGTAGAGCAAGGGGTTTTCCCCGAGAAGGGCCTGAGCTTTGCATGACCTTGAGAAGGCATTTCATTGTTCTTAATAACATGCTCAACTACTACTCTCTGTACTTCAGGTGTAGTGAGCTGTTCAGGTGGTAAGTAGATAGTGGTTTTTCTGTGCGAGGGAGTCACTTCTACACTTGGAGAGGATGAGTGAGAGTCATGCTCAGGCAAGTGGGTTAAATCACTGCCCAGTTTAAGAGAACTTTGATGCTCTATGATGGCTGGCTCATCTTGGTCTGTGTCACTAGTGAGCTGCAGATTCTGATTAGGCACTGTTACATTTGGTCCAACTGCGGGATCACTCTCAGTGGACTTCTTCATTCTGGCCAGCTCATCTAGTAAAACCTTCTCAAAATCTGCACCACTCAGTTTAGCAAGCCCTTTCAGTTCAGTTAGGTAAGAATGGGTTAAACATGAACCCCTGTCTGCAGCATACAGCGCAGACAGAAGCTGGATATGATGGACAACACTTGGGTTACGGCTTTGTCTTTTGCAAGGCAAGCTATCCTTAAGGAACTGGACTGGTTCACCTGATTGGAACTCCACAATGGCTGTGTTTTTAAACTGTGCCTCTGTGCTAGTTACTTTGATTACTCTTCCAATAGAACCAAACTGCCCTAAGTAATCAATAACCTCATTGTCAACCTCATCGCCTGTTAACCCTCCTACTAGGACAGAGTTAGGTACTTTGACACCTTCACTTTGGATTACATCCATGTTGTCTTATTGCTCCAACCCAGAATGTCATGGACAATTGTAATGATTCGACCCAAAAGGCATGAAAGCACCAGTTGCTCAACTTCCAAAATAAAAGGAATTAAACCTCCTGGCTGGCTCGCCACGTTTTGTGTAGCGCCTCTACTCAGGACCAGTACACTCTCACTTCAAATAGAGACCCTAGACATCTTTCTAGGTTCAGGAGGAGGTTTTGTTTTGGAGACTCACAAAAGGAGTTGGCTTGGAAGTGAATAACTGGGACCTTTATTGCCTCAGTACCATTTATACACATATACAACACAATAACCCAAATTGCACGCTAATAGTGCATTTTTAAAGGTGAATACATGTAAAACAAAACAAAATAAAGACATTTAAATGGAAGATTTATACTGAACAGTATCAGAGCTCTTGGGAATGAATGAAACAGATTAAAGTGTTCCTGTTGTGAAGTTTGAATTGTCCAGTCTGAATTGTCCTTTAAAGTCGTTGAAAACCCAAACAGGTGTACTGTAGGGGAATTGTCAGTGTGCAAACCCTATTATCCGGGTAGGAAAAGTAGTGCATAGGGCTTATCTGTAATCCAGGGTTGCTTGAATCAGTTTCTCAGGCAAATCCCACAATCCGATCGCATGGCTGGCCACACCATTTCACGATCATCCAGGATCTCATTTGGGCTGTTCTCGCCGTCAGTGGTTCTCCAGAATCCTTCTAGTAGTTCAAAAAAACCAATCTACACAAACAGTGCAGAACAATCAATTTCTTTTCCCATTTTGTGTTCTTAACATGAGCTCATTAACTTCTTTTCCAAATGTATTAATCACAAATGGCATTCCCTTTAGCTTTACCAAGTTACAAGAGTTACAGTAACTTGTTTGTACCAGTATCAACAATTTTATCAAAATTATATCACAACAAAGAACATCAGCAGCTTAAACAGTAATGTAAACAGTCATAGCAATGAAAGTGACATTCATCCTTAAGGCTTACAAGAAAATGTAACTTAATTCAGTGCAAATACTATTAAACTTGAAATATGCTCATATCTATTAAGACATAACCATTCTAATATAAACAGAGCTATTGCTTCTACTTGAATACCTCCCCGATCGGAATATGGCTTCAGCGGGGTGGGGTGGCTAACAGCTATTAGCAGCTAGCATCGCATCTAGCATCGGCATCGTTTAGCTCAAAGCATTCAACACTTATAACACACTGTAAAGAACAACAGGAGAAGTGAAACAACACGCCAGATTCTCATAGCTCCCGATTGGTTTTTGTTCAAAGGTTTCTGAGCTGAATCGGCTAGTGAAATACATTATCTAACTTAACAGGTAGCTAACGAAAGCACGTGACTCACCGGGATTTTCAGACACAAATAACTTGACAGACGTTATTCCCTTTGTGGTCAGAGTTCGGGGCCTAATAAAAGAGTACCTTATTAGCATTTATACGTAAAACAATCTGGTCTCATTAACCGGGTTGCAGTATTGCATACCAAGATACTTTTTCCATGCGCTCCGACACGTACTTGACCGCCATCAGAGGGAAGATCTCACAGGAAGAGAGAGGTAATACTTCCTGCGCACTAGACGCAAGGTCGTCAGAACACAAGACTGCATCACAGCGCCCCCTTGTGACAATAACAGGCTATAGCCTTAGATTACAAAAAGGGATTTTGCAGCCCTGTATTTCACATGGGTTACAAAAGGCTAAAGTGTGTAGAATGATGTCAATAATCTCATAGCCCGAGGAAAGAAACCTCTCTGAAATCTGGTGATGCAGCAGCACAACCTACTGCATCCGCTTGCCAGATGGCAGGAGGGTGAACATGCTGTGGCCCGGATGGGTATTGTCTTTTAGTGTCCTTTGGGCTCTCTGCAGACGCCTCTCCTTGGTGTCGGTGATATTCTGTGCACTGTTAATCACCTGCTGCAGAGCTTTGCACCATGCACATCCCATCCCAGTTTATAATGTTTCGAGTTAGGATGCTCAATAACTTCACACTGAAGTTTAGCCTTCTTTAGTGCAGAACAGGGCTTGAAAGAATATCTCTGACCTTAGACTTTTAATGTTTTGGCTGGAAAAAATCTTTGTTTTAATTGGATGAATGAGAGGAAAGATAGATTTTTTTCCGCGTATACAGCAGGCATCTTCACTTGATCACTCCCATTACCTGAACCATCTTTAAAGATTAAAGATCTCATGAGATTAGAGTGCTTTAACAAGGCATTGATCAGCATATCTCTAGCATACATAACATCGGCTAGTACATCTGTGTGCCCTGTGCATGTTAACTAAGGTGTCTCTTGCTCTTTAAACCAACACAAAAGGTGCTGTTAACTCTCTGAGCCCCAAACACAACCCCTATGTTTTGGAAGCAAAAAGGACCAGTAGTTTTTGATGCATGTTAGTTACAAGGATTAGTCTTTTTTCTTTTTTTAAAGAATACATTTCAGATCTTTCTAAATGAGAAAGACTGGCTCCTCAATTGCTTAATCTCCTCTATTAGTAACAAATCACAGCAAAGTAAGAAGTCCTGGGTTTTTTCACCGAGTGTTTTTGAGTTGTGGACTTGGTATTGTTCCTGAGCTTTCTTTTATGACTTCTACAGATCAGGTTTGGTGTTTTTATGGTAATCTTGCATTCTGTGATTTATCTTTTGTCTCGTTACCCTGATTCAGTTTAGGCGTGTCACATTCCCCATTAACTACCAGTGTCTGTGTCATGCTGTACCGCTGGTCCATTTGTGCCCTGAAATCATTCTAAACATGACACAGAAACTTGGATTGACAACATTACCTTTATCCCTTTAAATTTTTAAGGTTTCAGAATATGAAGCCGTGTGTTTGTCATGTAAATAAGAGTTTTTGTTTAAACGTATGCGTGAGCACTGTGACACAGTAGTGATGTGTGCAGTAGGAGTGACAGATGGGTTCAAGGTGGAGGTGGGATCACACCAAGGGTTGACTCTAAGAACCTTTCTGTCGGCAATGTTGATCAGCAGGCTGACAGATACGATCAGGCAAGAGCCTGCATGAGCTATATGTTTGCAGGTGATATTGGGATCTGTAGTGAAAGTGGAGCTCCTGGAGAGGTGGAGAAAAGAGGAATGAAAAGTCAGCAGGAGCAAGACAGAAAAAATCTGTGTGAATGAGAGAGAGGAAAGTGAAATGATGGGGATGCAGGAAGCTGGGGTATGAAGTTGGTTAAGTTTAAGTCCTTCAGCTTAACCGTCCAAAGAACGAGGGTGCAGGTGAGAAGTAAAAAAGCGCAGACAGCATAGGATCAGTGAAACCATCGTATTGTTACACATATATAAGTTAGGTCCTGTGATGAAGTCTGTTTAAAATCTTAATGATGATGGGTGTTAGAGTGAGCGAACCCTGGATAATCCTCCTTTTTGTTTGGAAAGATGACCAAAATTTACTAAAGTAACTTCATGTTATTTGACATGAAACTCATGACTAAACCAGTAAAGTCATCTGGAGCATAATTACTGAGGTCAGAGAGCAAAACAAATTATAAAACCAGACGTCTTTTGGCAACCACAGGAGTCACCTCCTGCAGGCCACCCCGCTTTGGCTTCAGTTTTCAGACCCAGAGACTATGGCCATCTTTTATACAGTGTATGTAAAGAACAGAGTGAAAAAAAGGTTTAGAAAATGGTAGTGAGAGCAGGCAAAGTACATGGGTAACAGTGCTGATGAAAAGGGAGGAGGTGGAACCAGTGGCTGCTGTGTTAAAGATAATAAATTTGCACTGAGAGTGACAAAGACTGACAGGATTAGGAATGAGTACATCAGAGAGAAAGCTCAGAGATGGACAATATGCCCCAAACCAAGCTTCAGGTGAAACATTACCTTAAAAGGGACAGCAAACCTCCCTAGACATCTGATCTCTGAGTAGTATAATTCATTTTGATGTTATTAGGTTACTAAGTTGATACTTTGTTAAATCAGTAGACATTTTTTTGTAACTTAATAAATAGGATGTTACAAGTTCACAGAAAGCCTTATTTATTGTAGAACATAGCTTGTGTACTGCTAAGTTAAAACGGGAGAAGTGTATCATTTATCAAACCTTTTTAACAAGACTGTTTTAGGGATTTATAATCAAGTATATGTGTTGTTCTTATTAGGATTTCGCCTACTTCAGTATCAGTTTAAATGTATTAGTAAGACATACACGCAGCAAGGGGCAAAGTAACTGAACTGGGCATGTGCAGAGAAAAAAATGCCAGGTGTACTGAGAAAAGGATGGTGAGGCTTAAAGCTCCCTCGCAAGAGGAAAGAAAAGAAATAAAAGGGAAGCAAAGAAGAAGGTTATGGATGTGGTGAAAGAATCTTATGTGACAGAAGAAGATGGAGAGGAAAGGAAGAGATGGAAACAGATGATCTCATGTGGTGACCCCCCCCTACAGGAACAAGTCTACAGAAGAAGACTTGGACATCATTTAACACAGTTTAACTGGAACATTTATCACCAGCTCATTTGCAAAGTGCTTTTAATTATGGGCCATCTCACACAGCATACAAAGTCCTTGGTCTCTGCAAAATCCTATGTTGTAAATATGTGCAGTAAAATTGTATCAATCCACGGAAATGTGTTTCCTGGCCAGAGAACGAGCAGTCAAATGTCCCGCAAGCCAAAGAGTTTGACACTTCCCTCTAAAGCTGGCAGACCAAACCGGGGCTAAAGCACCACTGAGTACTTAATTGGGATTCAACAGGTGAACAGAGGATGCTCTAGCGTAGAGGCGATGACAACAAGCATAATTTTTATGTTACAGCACTTTGTTTGGTAGTAAATACAGTTAGCCGCTGCGAGAGTTTCACACTCTTTAGTGCAGGCCTGCCCAAGCATTGTTTATTAGGTTAATAGCTCAGCAGCCACCCATCTGTAACTGATTTATCACAACATGATTATTTCTATGGCTTTTGCAGTCTTTCAGATAGCTTTTTGAACAGGAATGTATTACGCTGTACATTACAGCTGAGCTGACAAGGGCAGTTTGGGACGCTCTTCAAAAAGGTTCCAATGCAAAACGAGTCCGAGTTGGTCAATAACAATAATGGCTCAGAATAGCTGGTTCAGCTGAAGATTCAGTTTGTGGACACTTTCTGAATTGAAATGCCAGGAACACTTTAACGGGATGTGAGTAGTTACAATATATCAAGACTCTTTCCTCCAGGCTTGTTGTTGTATTTCTGTTGAACCAGCTCCAGATTTTTATTTGGGAGCCAGACACCCTCTCTACTTTTAAAACCAGGCTCAAAACTTTCCTTTTTGATAAAGCATGTAGTTAGAGCTGGATCAGGTGACACCAAACCCTCCCTTAGTTACGCTGCAGGAGCTTCCCATGATGCACTGAGTGTTTGTTCTTCACTCACTAGTGTCTACACACCACTCTGCATTTAATCATTAGTTATTATTCATCTATGGCTCTCTTTCACAGTGTGTCTTTTGTCCTGGCTTCTTCACATCACTCCCAACTGCTCACAAAGATGGCCCCTCCCCTCCCTGAGCCTGGTTCTGTCGGAGGTTTCTTCCTGTTAAAATGGAGTTTCTCCTTCCCACTGTCGCCAAGTCCTTGGTCATTTGATTGTTGTGGTTTTATATTGTGGGGTCTTTATCTTGGACAGTTGTGATTTGGCGCTGTATAAATAAAATTGAGCTGAATTATTTCTGTCCTCCAGTCATTTAAAAAAATATTTTAAGCCAAAGTTGCAATGTGCATCATTGTGAATGGTAATGATGAAAAATGCTTTTGTCATCCATTCAAAAAGTAGAGGAAAATGATGTTTGCAGTATTCATACAGCCTAATCCGTGTGTCATAGTTAATTCTCATTTCATTAAATTTTATGAGACTGTGTTATTTATGAGCAGATGCAGCCACAGTCCCAAAACTGCCTAAACAGCAGCAGCTGTGGCCTGCAGTAACCAAATCCAAAAGAGGAGGTGAAGTGGTCCTCGTGACCGTTTGGATGGTTTACGCGCAGGACGGTCTGATCCAACAAACCTCTCGACGAATATGACCAAGATGTGGATTCATTTGGTCAATAAAGACACGTCATTCACAAGTGTTCGGTGGCGTGTTCTTCTGGGAATGATCTGTGTGCGCTTTAACCTGAAACTCGCAGGCTGACATGTTGCTAAGTGGCTCTTGTGTGTCAGTATGAAATATATCCAGTTTATTCGGGCTCAGGTGCACTCGGGTTTATATATGCAGCTTCGCCAGTGTGACGCTGGGAGCTGCTGAAAAGTGTTAAATTAATCTTTCTGAGTAAAAAAAAAAAAAGACCTATGAAAAATCCAAATCTATGCCATCTTTCACATTTTCCAAAACTGTCCAGTGGGCTCGATTAGGGTCTTTGCTGGGCCAATTCTGGCCCCCAGGTCTTGTGTTTGACACCCCTGACCTACAGTATAAAAGCAGATATTACATGACCACTATGACTGTTCTCTGGTGTCTGACCAGTATAAAGCTGGTATGATGGTGAAAACAAAAAAAAAGAAAAAAGAAAAAAGTTTGTGATTACTGATAACGATAATGACAATTGCTCACTGCAGACATGAATTGTAACCAGTGAAGTGGCAAGACAATCAAATATATTATGACTTGAAACATTAATCTGTGACTGTGTTGCA